GGGGCAGCAGGTGGTGTAGTGGTGAAGGTGCTGGACTCTCACGTGGTTCAAGTTCTAGATCCGGTGGCTTGAAATTCATGCCAGATGTGTATGTGTGTGTGTGTGTGCATACCAAGAATCCCAGGAGGAGAATGGAGGAGAAGGGATTGCGGCTTAGCCAACCTCCCTGGGGGTAATTTCTCACTTTTCCTCTTGCTGTCTCTATCTCTCTGGTGAATCCAAGTGCCCTATGGCAAAAGCCTAAAAAAAAAAGTATAACTAAACAATTTATATTAAGAGCAAAGGTAATCAGTACTCAAATCTCATCACTTCCTAATTATTTTACTATTTACCTGATTTTGAGGTTATATATGTAATAGCTATTTTTGCCTATATTATAAAAACACTGTTAAGTGGTAAGCTACGTCACATCTCCTCCTAACTGTTCAGACACCTCAGTTTGGTAGTAGGGCCAACCTATCCTTTAACACAAGAGGCTCAGTGAACAGGCTCATCATACTTTTTTTTATTTTTTTGCTATAGGGCGTGTACGCTCGCCAGCCAGACAGAGAGAGACATAGAGACAGAAAGTGAGAAATCACCCCCCAGGGGGGATGGTCACGCCTCAATCCCTTCTCCTCCATTCTCCTCTCAGGATCTTGGGCACGCACACACACGCGCCCGGCGTGAGTTTTAAGCCACTGGTTCCGGGACGCGAACCGTGGTCGACTACGTGGGAGTCCAGAGACATAGCCATTACGCTAACTGCTGGTTCCATGGCTCATCATACTTTTAGGAACCACAAAAATGTTTCAGAGAAATTTATTTCATTTAAAATTATTTGTTAAGGAAGATGTGTATGGTGATATCTTTGACTGGAATGATGTCCGGTGTATTCATGCTGGGAAGATTTCTTTTGTATGCTGCAAAGATGTACAGTGACGAAATGTAAATTAACCATATAACATGGAATAAAATCAGAAGGGCCAGCACGTGGCAAAATGTTTAAGGCCCTGGATCCCACAAGGCTGGCTGTGCGTTTTGAGTCCCGGATCTGGAGGCTTGAAGAACACAGTGTGAGTGTGTGCATGTGTGCCCCAAATCCCTAGAGGAGTATGGAAAAAAGGGACTGAAGTGTGACCAACCCCCTGGAGGATGATTTCATGCTTTGTTCTCTCTTTTTCTGTCTCTCTCCAGCAAACACATGTGCCCTATAGTAAAAAAAAAAATTTTTAAAGAAAAAAAAACTTTCAGATTGAAGAAAATGTTTTCAAATGATGTAATATTAATATATTTATCATTATATCAATGTAGCAGTAAATAATAATTTATATTTAATATAATATAAATTATATATATGTGTGTATGTGTGTGTGTATGTATATATATATATATATATATATAATATAATATGTATATTATGGAGAAAGAGTTCCATAGAGGGCAAAAATGCCTAAGACATGCAAAAATTGTAATGTGATCCTGATTGGTAGCTTGAAATCGATCTTGTTGAGAATGTTTACACCATAAAAATTGGCAAATGCTACAAATAAGAGCTTGTAAATTTTTTGTTAGCAAAGTTTTTCTGCAGAGATCCAGGTCGTTGGCTTCTCAGTTCGCAGCTGGGTGATAAGCTCACAACTTTGCCATTGTAGCACAAATGCAGCCACATGCCCACAGATCAGCACGCTGTGTTCTAATAAAACATAGTTCGCCAAACCTTGGTCTAGGCTTAAAGCGTGGAAAGAAATGTGACTATTGCAGATTCAATTTAATGGCCTGTCCTGTCTGAAGCTGTTACATTGCAACTAACACAAAAATGGGACTTGATGTGAAACTCTTACCCTATCCAGCAAGGCACTTGTTTTATTGACTATGGACTCAAATTCTGATATTATCTTCATTATTTCACTTTCATCTTATTCATGAATATAAACAAAAGTATGAACACACATTCATGTTGGAACTGTACTTGGAAAGGGTATGTTGTCAAGCAAGTTACCACTGTGGGTATCCGACGCTCAAACTCCGGGAAAAGATGTGAACACACTGCTTAGCGTTATCCCATCCAAGCAGCAAGAGAGCTGGGATATTTATACACCGGCTCCCAAGAGTCATTAATGGGACTGCTCCCAGAGATTGTTAATTCCTTGGCCCTTTCTCTTTCTTTCTTTCTTTTTTTTTTTTTAAAGAATTATTTTATTTTATTTATTTATATTTTTAAAATTTTACCAGAGAGAGGGAGTTAGAGAGAGAGAGAGAGAGAGGGACCAGCAGTTAGCGTAATGGCTTTGTCGCTGGACTCCCATGTAGTTGACCGCGGTTCGCGTCCCGGACCTGGTGGCTTAAAACTCACGCTGGGCACATGTGTGTGCATGCCCAAGATCCTGAGAGGAGGATGGAGAAGAAGGGATTGTGGCGTGACCATCCCCCCTGGGGGGGTGATTTCTCACTTTCTCTCTCTTTGTCTGTTTCTGTCTGACAAGCACATGTGCCCTATGGCAAAAGTCTCTCTCAAGAAAAAAAAAAAAAAAAAAGAGAGAGAGAGAGAGATTGAGAGAGAGAGAGAGAGCTGCCAGGACTGAGACTTGAACTGCAGTTGGCTATTTGGGAGTCCCATACCCCAACCACCATGCAACCTACTGGCCCCTTCCTTGGCACTTTCAATCTTCTGGGAACACTGGCAGCTGAGACTTTGTGGTACTGTAATATTACGGTGGATACATACCATATATCTGTTAAGACACATAGAATAAACAACACGAAGAGGGAGCCTAACATAAAGAATGGATTTCAGTTAATAATGCATCGATATTGCCTCATTGATTATTTTATTTTTTATTTTCTTAACTTTTTAATTTAACTTTGTTTATTTATCTTAATTTGACCAGAGAGGGACAGAGAGAAAAAAGGGAGAAAGCAAGCCACCAGGCCTGGAACCTGAACCACGGTCGACCACATGGGAGTCCAGCACCCTTAACTACCACACCACCTGCCCACCCCTGCCTCATCAATTATATAATAGGCACCATGTTCGTATCATTCAGAGAATTTTACTGCCCTAGAAATCCCCTGTTCCACCTACTCATTCCTCCCTCCCTCCTCCTGAACCCTAGGCAGCTAATGGTCTTGTTACTATCTTCACAGTTGCACTTTTCCAAAATGCCATATAGTAGCAATCATACAATATGTAGCCTTTCAGATTGTCTTCATTTACTTAGTAATATGTATTGAAGGTTCCTATGTATCTTTTTATGGTTTAGTAGCTCCTTTCTTTCCCTTTTCTTTGCTTCCTTCCCTCTCTCCTCTTTCTTTTTTTTCTTTCTTTTAAAAAAAATTTGCCAGAGGGCATGTACCAGAGAGAGGGCCAGAGAAAGAGCCAGAGAGAGTCAAAGGGAGAGGGAAAGTTGAAGAGAGGCAGAGAGAAAGCATCCCCCAATGGGGCGTGGTCACGCTGCAGTCTTCTTTTTCATGCCTCTATCCTGTTGGGATTTGGGAGCATGCACACACACATGCCTGGTGTGTTTTTCAAGCCTCCAAGTCTGGGACTGGAGCCACATGGTGGACCATGTGGGATCTAGCTCCCTTAACTGCCAAGCTCAGGGATCAGCTTGCTCACTTCTTTTTAGAGCTGAATAATGTACCATTATACAGATATACTACAGTTTATTCATTCACTTGTTGAAGGGCATCTTGATTGCTTCCAAGTTGCAGCAATTATGAATAAAGCTGCTCTAAATATCTGATAGGTTTTTGTGTAGATAAAAGCTTATAGGGGAGGAGCACAACTCCTGGATCATAGTGTAGAAGTTATGCTTACTGGGCCCACTGGTGGCATGATGGTTAAGGGTGCTGGATCTCTCATGGCTGATTTCACAGCTCAAGTCCTGGACCTGGGGGCTTGAAACACACAACTGATGCATGTGTGTGCCTGCCCGAAATCGCAAAATAAGAGAGATATGGAGGAGAAAGAATTGTGGCATGAACATAACTCACTTTCTCTCTCTGTCTGTCTTTCTGGTGGGTGCACATGCACTATGGCAGAGTATAACAATAATAATAATAATAGTGTATTTAGTTTTGTAAAAAACTGCCAAATATCCTCCAAAGTGACTCATAATTTTACATTCCCACCAGCAATGAATGAGAGAATTCCTGTTGCTCCATATCTTCATCAACATTTGATATCATCAATATTTTGATCCACACCCTTCTAATAAGTATCTAGTGGTAGTTCATCATTGTTTTAATTTGCATTTCCCTGGGAAAAAACCTGCCAGGCCTGACAACCCATCTCAGACTTCTGATCTCTGGAATTGTGCAATTATAAATGTGTGTGTGTGTGTGTGTGTGTGTGTGTATAAGTTTCTGTGGCATCTGTGTGTGCTCATTGGAGAGAGACAGAGAGGAAAAATGAGAAATACCCATTCCCCATCCCCCAGGGAAGATGGCCACACTACAATCCCTTCTCTCTTCTCCTCTTGGGATTTTGGGCGTGCATGTACACACACCTGGTATGTTTTGTAAGCCACTGGGTCCAGGACTCATACTACACATGTGGGATCTGGCTGCCTCAACCACTACACCATATAGCTGGCCCATAATTCATGCTGTTTTAATAGAACTAACAACTATTTCAAGGTGATTAGAAAATTGAACATTAAACCCCACTTTTATTTACATTTCTAGTCTTTGTGAGAGCCCTTTCCCTTTTCTTTCTCTTAATTTTTGTTGTCGTTTATTCATGACTGAGCATATGCACGTATGTGAGAGAGAAAAAGAGAGACGGGCACCCTCCACAGGGTCCGGTCACACCGTGACCCCCTTCCTCCAGCCCTCCAGCCTGCAGGATCTCGGGCACTCATGGGCAGGCCTGGTGTGTTGGGGGCTGACTGGGTGGCTGCCATGTGGGAGCCAGCTTCTCCTGAGCAGTGTGTTATTGCTGTGCCACAGAACCAGGCCATGACCCGCAGCATGAAGGCAAATAGATATTTGAGAATTAGAAGACAGAAAAGCCAAACTTTAGGTAAAACCTTTGGTATATATCTTTTATTTAAATATTTGTTTCATTATTTTTAAAATTTCCCATCCAAACCACAGCTGTTACTGGCACTCAACCATCCCAGGCAAGAGAAATACCAACTAGGGGGTTTCCTGAGAACGGCAGGCTGCGGGTTGCTAGAGTCAAAAAGAGACTGTCCAGTCCAACCCACCCATTTGACAGAGACGGAAGTGTGGCTGGAGTGAGGGTTATGTCAGGGAGTACAAAGGGTGAATGGGCCCCGGCCTGTGATTCTGGAGACACTTCGCAGGCCGCTCCTGGATCCTGGCCCGCCTGTCATGGCTGGGGGCGGGGCTGGCCCCCCGG